AATGGGGTCTTGTTTTTTAACTCTAAAATTAAGTCATGAATTTTTAGAAGTAGATTTGGGTCAAACTGTTAATTTCTATAAAGGATGCATTTTGGTCAGAAATAGATCTTAATTGCTAATATTTACTTCATTATTTTGGAGCAAGAATTTTAATTTGAACTAAATTCTGCTAATATTTTATTTTGTGTTTCTAGAGAGTATTCTGTATGGGGGGAATATTTGGCAGAAGCCACAGATCAGTTTTGCCATTGAGGGAGAAAGAATCACTGAAGAGAGATGAGTCGGTATTGTCCAAGGTGTGTTGCTTGTCTGGTTTCAAGAAAGCCAGTATAGACAGTTTTATGACTTACAGAGTTCTTCAAATTTACAAACACTGAGATCATGACTGTGGGTTCTAAAACAGTCTCAAGTGCTGATAGCTATGGTTATGCTCACAGGGAGATGGGAGGCTACACAAGCGTACGGGGTGAACAGTTAGTAGATACCCTGCAATCACTTGGTTGGTATAGTGCATACTTCCTTCTATCTCCTGTGAAAAGCAGCAAGTTAGTTTCTGAGTTTATTAGAAGCATTTTCTGTAGATTAAGCTTCCTGGGGAAGAGGTTTGACTGGATTTTAGAAGTTGATCACCTCCCTGTATAATCTCTTCTGGCTTGTTACTTTCTGTAGATAAAATATCAGCTGAAGTGTTTAGGGGAGAACCTTGTTAGCCAAGGAGACTAGCATTTCATGTATCCATGCCAGGTTCTTCATTGGAAGAGAGAGGCCGGGTACCGGCACTAAAAATGAACCTGCTTAGGCCATGTAAACTGTAGTTGGTATTTAGCCAGACCTGTGGGTGCTCAGCATTTGAGAAAGATTGACCAATACTGTTGGTATATTTGCCTAGACTGCAGACAATGCGTATGCGGCCTGGTGTAGGAAACTAATTACACAGAAATGTGTGGTAGGACAGAAATGGTGGCAGTGGTCTGACTGTATTTGGCCTGGTAGTTTTGTTTATGTCTTTTCTGTGTCCCCAGCCAATTGCGTTACCTGTGGGGGCCACCAGTGTGGTTTGTGATGCCATGGCAATGTTACAGCTAGTCTCCTTTTATTTTTTTTTTAAATAGTATTTTATTGTGTTTTAGGTTAATTTCCACAGCAAATTTGGTTCCCCTTGAACAATTTTTATACCGATTGTTCTGTGCCATTGGTTATAGTGTTTACAATGTGTCAGTATTCTCATTATAGTCATTCGATTTACTCTGTTTCTGTTGATCTAGCTTCCCTGCCCCACCGTGCCATCTCATCCATGATTTTGGGTAACTGTTGATAGTTTTGTCCCATACAGTTAATTATTTGAGAGAGCACATTACTCACAGGTGATATTGTTTATTTTATAAGCCAATCCATTATTTGTCCTAAAGGTGACCTGCAGAAATAGCTTCAATTCCAAATTCAAAGGGTATCTTAGGGGGAGGTAGCCTTGGGGGTTATTCTGATCTCTTTTCAGTCCAGTAGGCCTGGTGGTGGTTTAGGAATTTGAGTTTTGTTCTTCATCTTTCTCCTGAGGACCTTGTGCCCCTGGTCAGAACAGTCAGTAGTGGTGGCTGGGCACCATCTAGCCTCAGATTAGAAGAGGCTGTGGTTCATGTGGACTCTTCTCCTTTTCTTGATATAATGAAGTGCCACATCCCTTCTGAATCCCATAGCTTTGAAACCTCAGGTTGGTCTTGTGTTTAGTCCAGTTCTCTATGTAGTGTTTTGTACTTTTCATTTGGCAAATCATATGGCCAGTTTATAAGCATTTTTATATTTCCTTAAACAATATGACTTCTGTATTTTGGCTACAAAATATGGCAATAAATGTGGAGGGTGTTACAGAGGGATGTTAAGCACAGGTACTGTATTATGCAAGGGTCAATAAAGTTCATAGAAAATGATCATTTTTGTAATTTTGTGTATTGTGTGTAGAGAGGGTTTCTGGAAAAAAAAATCCATTTATTTTGGCAGTTTGGGAAGGGTCTAAGTTACCCATATTATTTTAACTTAGTCTTTTGTGTTCACAAGGGGTTAGGTAATGTATATATCTACTACTATAGATTGAATTGCAGTTCCCCCAAAATGTGTTGAAATCCTAACCCCTGCTTCTGTAAATAGTCCTAGTGGTGCAGTGGTTAAAGTGCTTGGGCGCCAACGGAATGGTTGGCAGTTTACCCCATCAGCCACTCCACAGAAGAAAGATGTAGCCATCTGCTTCCATGAAGATTTATAGCCTTGGAAACCCTATGGGGCAGTTCTACTCTGTCTGCAGGGTTGCTGTCAGTCAGAATTGATTAGAGGCAGTGCAGTAATTTTGGTTTGGTACCTATAAATAGGACCCTGTTCAGAAACAGGGGTTTTCTTGTGTTCCATTAAATGAGGTCATACCAGTGTAGACTAGATCCTAAATCGAATCACTCCTGAGTTATTATAGACCAAAGCAGACTCAGAAATGCACACTGGGGGAAGAGAGACTCCAAGGAGCCCAGGAGCTTGCCCAAGGGTCCAGCCTCAGTTTGGGCATCTGGCTTGCTGAACTATGAGAAGATAAATTTCTGTTCTTTAAAGCCACCCACTTATGGTACTTATGTTACAGCAGCACTAGGTGACTAAGACACCCACCTGGCTCCCAGTTTATTAAGATAGATAAAGACATAGTATTATACATTTTCCCTCTGTAGTTGATTTATCCAAATCCTTATAAACTGAAAAAGGGAGATACTCACAGTTTTGTGTGTGTAACAGTTCTGCAGGTCTACTGTTTTCCAGAAAATGGGTGGGTGGGTGGGTGGGGAGGTGGCACAAGAACGATGTCAGCACTCAGCTGGGGTCTAGTTAGCTCTGAAGTTCTGCAGCAGGGAAACAGAGGTCTCCATCACAGATCTGAATCACAAGTGTGTAGTAAATGGATGAGAGTCATCGAGAAATATGAGCTACAGGTATCAGTACTTCAGAATTCAGTGATAGGTGACTTCTGGAGGGACAGTTTCTTCTGACACTACCTCTGCTATCTCTGCTGCTCTGTGACTCTGGTCAAATGCACTGCAGCTTCACGTCCCCAGGGTGTTTGTTCTGCCTTTGGGATGTTAGAGAAACCTCAGAGCCCGTATTTCCAGGGCCTTTCACAGTTGTGTCTCCCTCAAGGGAATGTAGCCCCAGCCACTTCCTCCTCACTTTCTTGAGTAGGTCTTACCCTTTATTAGCTGCTAATTCTCGATTTCCTTCTAGAAATGTTTTATTTCCCCCAAAGCAAACAAATTGAAGAAAGAATTTAAACATTTCAAAATGTCTTGGTGCATGGTTTAGTCTCTGTTCTCTCTTGCTTTCACACCTACCCTGAACAGCCAACATCTTCCCCTGACCAGCAGGGAGGTGGTACCGTTGGCCTGTGGCCATCCCCTGCCACACACATTTGATGAAAATAAAGACAAGAGACAAGGTTGGTTGTTTTGCCTTAAAACTTCAGTATGCTGGACTGTGGCGTGAGGTATTTTTATTCCCTTTTGTTAGTATTTAAAACCATCTGGTACATATTGTAAGGCAAATGGTTAACAAGTCTCAAGCTATTCGTCCATTTGTAAATGGCCGTTCCCACTTGACCAGTCACAGCTCCCCAAAGTCTGTGTGTTTCCTGCGTGTTTCTGCGTGGGTCGGCTTTCCCAGCTGTAGTGTAGAGTGTTGGATGAGAGCTATGTTGAATTGGCCTCTTCGTCCTCTGGACTGTGTTAGACTCGCTTTAGAAAGGACTTTCAGTATTAAGGGAATAGCAGCCACCCCGATCACCAGAGAGAATAGGCAAATGTTTTTTCAACTAGTGGGCCCAAGCACTTGTTGGAAACCAAGTTCCCTGTGTAGTCCGACTGTCAAGGTTGTGCAGTGTCATACTGTTGATACCCCATGCCTGGGGGGAATGAGTATAAAAAAGGAGAAAAGAATGTTGATTTCTGAAGACAGGCACAATATATACTACCATAAATGCGCAGTTTCAAACCACAGTTGAAGTAGGATATAGGAATAATAATGGGTGCCTGGGGGACTACGTACCATTACTTTATAGTGTTTTTGCATCCACATACACTCACAAAAACTCTCCATAACGTAACATATCACAAATGGCCCTGATTAATGATGTACAAGTTTTTCATGCTCGTGAAACAAACAGCAAAACACCACGGCTTAGTATCTTCCCATTGTGTACACCACTCACAGTACAGTGATAGCCAGGTATTGCACTGGATTTCTGCTTCTCTGTTAACAGAAAACAAGCCTGCTACACTTTGTAAATAGTAATCACTTAAGCAATTTGGTCAACTTGCGCCAAGTAGTAGGTCTGATAAGAAGAGTTTCATTGGAGCATGAAACCCCAAAGTGGAAAGGAACACTGTGGTGCAAAACGCTTACTCATCTAAGAAGGCAGTCCTACTATTCTATTATTATAAAAGTAGAAAGATTGAAAAAAACGAAATCTGAAAATGATCTCATTTGCTTAAGACTCAGTCATGTGTATTGCAAACACTGGAAAATGCATATTCCATTTTAAAATGCAACAGCCTGTTGATCAAAATAATAATAAAAAAGTGTCTTTTTTAAGAAAAAGAAGAGCACTTGCCCTATTGGTTGAACGGATGTATATGTACTACTTTTAAGGTGCAGCTGTGGAGGGAAAAAAATGTCATTTGGCACTATAGTAATGACAATGTTTTAATACTGGCACAAGCTTAAAAAAAAAATAAAACCACCAAAAGAATGACAAATAGACTGGCACCCAGGATTGGAGGTGGGAGCACTTCCATTCAGATGAGAAATCAACAGTGGAAAAGACAAGGTTAAAAAATGGTTCTGCAGAGACAGATGAGAGTTGCTGTAAAACAGCATTTTTTGTTTTTCAGACAGGTGTTACTTTTACTAATACAGAAGGAAGTAATGTCTTCTGGAGAGCAGCCACTGCTGGAACAATCAACAAGTGTGTCCAGCCATCAGTACACATGAGATTCTTTGTGACTTAAAACGTGGGTGCGTGAGGCTGAGCTGGTGGCACTTCGGATCACCTCCATCCACCTAAAACAGAAGAAAATGTCATGAAAGCCTTGGACCACTTTTTGTAAGCCTGTGTCTCTGATTTCTCTTGTTTCTAACAGCTTCACGATACTTGGTGATCATTCCTTTCCAAGCACAGCATACTGGAATACCTCCTGGTGTGTAACTGCAGCAGTGGAAAACTTCTGAAACGGAATCTTAGGACCCAAGCACATGAAAGCCGGGCTAAGGGTTCCTCCTATTGCTGCTGAAGAACACAGTTTGAGAACCAACTGACCTGGTGACTTCATTTTGTAGGGACCAGAAGTACCAGGATGGACGTAACCTGCTGGGGGGGCAGCGTGGGGTGCAGAAGCACTAGAGGGCAACCATTTACTTGCCTTTTCCTGTAGCACATTCCAGTTTGAGCAGTCTGGAGTCAGATGGCTTCTGGCTGGTGGGAGAGCTCTACCTTGCCATGTTTTTTTCATGCATATAATAGAAAACAGTGGTGTGCTGAGGCGCCTCAGGAGGGTATCCCATCTTTCTTGGTGGAGTTTTTATTTTATACATTTGAGTAGCTGCTATATTCTAGGTCCTAATTTGGGTATCCACCACCTGTCAGTTGTCATACAGTGTTGGCGTGTTTGTTGCTAGAGCCGTATCTAGAAATAGAGGTATTTCAGATACCTGCAGGGTCACCTATAGTGACAGGTTTCAGTGTTAAGACAGACTAGGAAAAAAGACCTTGTGATCTACTTATGAAAATTTGGCCAGTGAGAACCATATAGATCACAGGATATTATCCAAGTCTTTGACCTGTTTACTTTGGACACATTGGGATAATTCCCTGGAGAAGGACATCATGTTTGGTAAAGGCAAGGGCCAACAAAGGTTGAGTGAACCCTCAATGAGCTGGACACAATGGCTGCAGCAATGGACTCAATTTACAGTGAGGATGAAGATGATACAGGACCAGGCACCATTTTGTTCTGTTACATATGGGGTTGCCAGAAGCAGAGCTGACTTGACAGCAACTAACCAAACCAAAACGAAACTCACTGCCCTCGAGTCAGACCCGACTCATAATAACCTCTCCTTGGGTTTCTGAGGCTATCACTACAGAAGTAGATTGCCTAACCTTCCTTCTGAGTAGTAGCTGGTGGGTTTGAACTGCCAGCCTTCTAGTTAGCAGTTAATTACCTTAGGCACTAAGCCACCAGAGATATTTTGGACATAGCAGTGGTTCTCAACCTTGATTGTTGAAAGCAAAGAGGACTTGACGCATTTAGCCTTAAGTATGAATTATACCTAAGAAAACAAAAATCCTCACAACTGGACCAATAAGCAACATGATGATAAATGGAGAAGATTGAAGTTGTCAGGGATTTCATTTTACTTGGATCCACAGTCAACACCAATGGAAGCAGCAATCAAGAAATCAGACAAAGAGAGGACTTCCAGTAAGGTAGAGGAATAGGCAGACAAGCAACACAGACCCTCTTCAACAAAGAAAAGGAAAACCAATTGACAGAGATACAGAAGATAATCCTGGAGCCCTGAGCTTTGAAAGGAACAATACAGAAGTGGATTAGGCACCAACTAGTGGAAAAACCTGAAAGAAAACAGGGAGTACAGAGACTGTTGGAGCTGCGGACTGTCAGCTACTCTGACGGGACCAACAGCCTGAATATTTCCATGGACTGTTGGGACCTGAGATAAGACCTAAAGATCAACCCTGGTCACCAAGGGCTGCAGGGATGATTGTGCTGGTGGCCTATGAGTAGGAAGGGAAACAGCAAGGAGGGAGACAACCTGAGCTGTTGACTTTCTGCTGTCTGGAGGGCACAGCCACTTTGAATGTTTACAAGTGGCAACCATTTTGGATTTTAAAATGATAGCATTCTCATTTGGATTCCAGGAACCTAAGAATGGGCTGTTTGCTAAGGTTGGCAGGGATATACAAGAGTCTGACAACAGGAAAGGAGACAGGTGGTTAGTGTACAGGTGCTGTCAACTAGGGAATGGAGCACAGCACAGTACCCTGCTTGTGTAGATAACATACAAAGAAAATGAAAATCGCAGGCAAGTCACTCCAACATACGATCACCAATTAAATGTAAACACAAAAACATCACAATGCCTCGAAGACAACAGAGCATCATAGTGCACACAAAGAAGCAAGATAAAGCAGGAGAAACAAGGGACCAGGAAACAGACCCAAAACCCATCCCTGAGGAAGATGCAGCATTGGAACTCCCTGATAAGGAATTAAAAAAAATTATATTTAGGTATCTTCAACAAATTGAGAGACAGATAAGGAAAACACAGAGAAAACCCTAGAA